TCTGACACGCACCTGACATGGTGGTGCACAAAGCAGGCCTGGAGAGATGGCTCAGCTGTTAAAGACACTGGTGGCTCCTCCTGAGGACCTGGATTCAGTTCCCAGCAACCACAAAATGGCCCACAACTGTCTATGTGACTCCAGTCTCAGAAGACCCAACACCCTTTTTTGTGGCCTCTGTGGACACCAGGCATACACATGGTGTAGACGTACATGTAGGCAAAACAGTCATACACAAATAATTAATTAATTTGATGTAATGATAAATGTATGTTTAAAAAAAAAACACGCTACTTAAATATATCACTTTAGGAAGAAGCCTGGTAGCACACAATCCTGAAATTGTAGCTACTAGGGAGGCCGAGGCAGGAGATTCTGTGAGTTTCAAGGTTTTCTTGGACTACAGATGAGTTCAAGAAAAAGAAAAAACACTCTTTTCCAGTTTGAAGATGAAAAATATCCTGAAATCATCTATAAAGGGGGAAAATTCTTGAGACTGTTAATTTCAATTACATTAATCTTGGTAGACATCTAAAGTAAAACTGGAGATGTGCTAACAAAGATATAAATATGTTTTATTCATAATGATATATATTTAAAGAAATGAAATAAAGCTATTCCAACAACCTCCTAAAATGTTAAGTGTTCCCCTCAGGTCTCTTATACCACAGCCTACATTAATGTATTCCAGTTCCATTTACCTGATCATTACCCTCCAGTTTGTTCAGCTGCAACCAACATACACTAATTACTTAGGCATCACAAAGTCCTATTTGTCCTCCGCTCCTCCCCAGCCAGCAGGGAAATATTATCAAGGGTAGGCATAAAAAGTGATGACTACCCTCACCTTCCTGTCAATCATCCCAGAGAACATCACAGAGAAACACCACTCAATCTCATTATGGAATCCTAAAGCTGAAACTCAAGCACCCACCAGGAATCACACTTTAAACAGCAGGCTACTTGGGTAAGATATGAGTCACCATGAATACTTTCCTGATTTTAGGGTCTTGTTTCAAAGCTGTAAATATCAGATATTGCTCATTTAAATTCAGCATGACTGTATACAAGCAATAAAACGGGAAGACAAGAAAAGTATGGCCACGGGCTGAAGCACAGAACCATTCTCCTCACTTGAAATGAAGAATCTTGACCTTTTAAATTTAAGCTTGATTAAAGCTTTCTTTCAAAAATTGAATTTCTAACTTTAGTGGTTTAATAAAAATATTTCATTTTTCCTTTATCTGGAAAAAACTTTTTTAGTCTTTTTACTTAAAATACAAGAAATGAATGGATGCTATATGAGTGCATTTGGTGGAGAAGAAATACAACAGTCTCTAAATTCTCCATCTCTCTGCACTATTCACCAAACTAAGGAAACTACTAGTCACTAAGACAATTAAAAAGTTCTGATGCCTTATAGTTCATATGTTCTCTCAGCTACCTAGAATCATACTAGGAACCAACAATGCTGAGATGTCCCTTCCTTTAAGTCAGCAAAATAGCAAGAAAGCCCTCATTAGCAAGTATCAAAGTAGCCCTCTGCCTAAGATCCAATGGATTTATTCAGACCTGTCTCTTCCTCTTGCTCTAACTAACATGAGTGGCCCTAGCTCACCCAACTGTAGACTATACTTTCCCTATCTACTTTCCTGGGACCCCTCTAGGCAAGCAGTTCTCAACTTGTGGGCCAAGACCCCTTTGGAGGCCAAAAAACCCTTTCACAGGGTCACCTAAGACCATCTGAAAACACAGATATTTACATTACAATTCATAAAAGTAGCAAAATTATGGTTATGAGGTAGCAATGAAAATGATTTTATGGTTGGGAATCACCACAACATGAACTGTATTAAAAGGTCCAGCATTAGGAAGGTCGAGAACCTCTGCTCTAGAACATTCTTCCATGTTTATGCTTTGTTCAACTTCAAAACAAAAATACTGTATTTAATAGGGTTTAAAATGAAAAACATACAGAATAACTTAGAAATGATTAGCATTTAAAATATTTAGTTTCCATATGTAAAATCTGGAAGTCCTCATTTAGGTCTTAAAACTTTCACATTAAATTCAAATCACATAGTTTGCAGAATACAAACTCAAAATTATTTTGCCTTTATCGTCCACCATTCTATATAGCTCTTAGCACATTACCTAATATGTTTAAAAATGCTATTAAGTTGTCATCGTCAAGGCCTAGAGAATGAGATTAGCAATCTTGTAAGATGCATCAAAAAAGGTCCCCAGCCCCTCCACATGTGAGCGCACAGCTGAAAAGCTTCATCTTCTATGAGGACACAGCATCCTAAAAAGCAGGAAGGGGACCCACACCAACCACCAAACTTTCCAGGGCCCTTACCTTGACTTTCTAATCTCCACACTATAGAACTAATTTTCTACTGTGTATAAGCCAGCTCACTTATGGTACTGTGCTGCTGCAGTTTGAATAGACCAAGAGAGAAAACAAGACTCAAACATCTACAATCAGGAATGAAAATGGAGCTATTACTTACCCACCTCACAGAACTAGGATGCTAACAAAGAAATGCCATAAACAACTTCACACCAATGAACTACAAAACAGACGAAGTGGACAATTCCTAGACATACACAAATTCAAATACTGACTAAAAAATAACAATGGAGTATCCGAAACCAAAAAACAAATACCCACAGCGAAGCCAGATCCAGTCCTCATGGATGAATTGTACAAACACTTAAAGAATGCCAAATCTTTACATGTGTTCCCTACAAAATAGAAAAACCTTTTCAATCCATGAAGCTAAAATATTCAATTTTTGGTTTTGTTTTGGTTGGTTTTGTTTTCATGTTCTCTGTGTAGCCCTGGCTGTCTTGAAACTTGTTCTGTAGACCAGGGTGGCCTTGAACTCACAGAGCTCCACTCACAGAGCCTCCCAAATGCCAGAATTAAAGGGGTACACAACCACACCCAGCCTAAGATATTCTAATACCAACCAAAGATAGGGAAAACTACAAAACAGTGTCTTCCAAATACAGACAAAAAGCTCAGCTTGGTTACAGGACACAAAAATCAAACAAAAATCAATTGCATCTCTACATTTACTTTAGGGAAAAAAATAAAATGGCATAGATACTTGCATGAAAAAAAGTTATTTCAGAATAAAGGTACCAAAGTTAAGCACAGAACTTACATTCTCACATTACAAGATGCCACTGAAAGGAATGAAAGCCACCTAAACAAGTGAAGGACAGGGAACTTACAAAGCTGGGATTATCTACAGATACAACACAAACCCCCAGTGGACAGTCCTGCACTGACTCTCTCCTCTTAATAAACCATTATTGACTGATCTTTTCAAAAAAACATTAATGTGCTTTCTCAGGATAAAATCTAAAATCAAATTCCCAAGTCCCTATTTTATTTTCTTCTGCTCTGGCCACTTCCTGCTGCAGCACTTTCTGCAGCCTGCCTGGGCCTCACTCCTGCATGTAACCAGAATCTCACCAACAGAGAGCAGCCTCAGGGCTGCTTCCAGTTAGTTTCTACCTCACAAAGATCGCAAGGGAATATATGCAGTTCAGCTGATAGGTGTTTAGCTAGCATGTACAAAGCCCTGCGTTTGATCCCCAGCATGCAATAAACTGGGATAGGGTGTTGGAGACAAGAGGATCAGAAGTTCAAGACTATCTTCAATTACAGAGTCTGAGTCCAACCTAAGTTACATGAGACCCTGTCTCAAAAAAAAAAAAAAGACAATTTTGAAGAATGCATTGAGCATGGTAGAGAGCTAGCTTGCTGCTCTTACAGAGAACCCAGGTTCAGTTCTCGGAACCCACATCATAGTTCATACCCATCTGTAACTCCAGTTCCAGGGATTCTGATGCCATCTTCTGCCATGAAGGGGCACTGCACATGGGTGGTACACAAACATATATGCAAGCAAATACTACTATATATAGTAAAAGTATAAAAATTATATATATATATATATATATATAAAATCTGAAAAATAATAAAGTAGTAGTTCTCACATTATCTCATTATTACCTGATAAGGAATGAAAATTACTACTACTGAAATCATCAAATTTTAAAAAATTAGCAAAGAATCTAGGTTCAACTTTTTTCAAGTCAAACTATATTTGTAAAACCAATTTAACTGCTTTTCATTAAAAGACATTTTAAACATAACCATCAAATAAATTATGCAGTTAACATTTATTTTCAACAAATTAGTTTGCAATTCTTTCATCCAGATTTTTGAAAAAGAAGTTACATACAATAAGACAAAATGAGTAAGTTTCAAATAGAACACCACACTTTAAAGATCTTTTTACTAAATTAATTACTACACTATAAAAGTGACATTCTCAAAAATAGAGCAAGAGGACAAAAACCGGTGACTTAAAAGTACAGCTACACATACTCAGTCCATAAAGTTCTAATACTCTGAATTCTTTCCCATGGGATTTCTTTCTAGTCATTCATAGTTTATTACTGCTAGAAAATGCCTGCTGTGTTTAAAAAAAACCACCACATAAAATTATATATCATTCACTGCTTTATGCTATACCTTCTTTTGTTCAGATCCAATTAGCATCGGCCTATCTCTCATTTATCAAACTTCCAGCTAACGCATTAATGCCTGTAGGAAGGGTCAGACAGCGACAGCATTCCCTTGGTGACACCGGAGCTATGCTGGGAGATGCTGGGCAGCAGCACTGTGTAAACAGCCCATTCATCTTCCAACCTAACTTTCTCCAGCTTGGTTTAATCTATTTGTTGACCAGCAATAAGCCTGGCAACCTTGGTCTGAAGCTTGGGGTAGGGGGATGGAGGGGAATAATTAAGACATTATAATACTTCCATTGTGTTTGTGCTAACAGTGAACAATTAAATAGTTTTAAAAACTGAATACACCTTTTGCAAGTGAAGGAAAAATAAAACAAGTATCTTTCACTCCTATCCTAATGGATCCAAATTAAGTCCTGATTGAAACTAAGTCAAAGTATACTCACGGAACTGGCATCAACATCACTGTGAACGGCCACTGTCTTGATGCCCATCTTCTTGCAAGTTTTAATAACCTAGTCAAAACATGTCATCTATTAACAGAAATCCATATGCAAAGGGACTTTAATCCATTTCAGAGCAAAACGGAAAATAATTCAAATTCTACTCACCCTACATGCAATTTCTCCTCTGTTAGCAATGAGAATTTTATCAAAAGTCTGACAAAAGACAAAAAAGAAAATTGTTACTCTTACTTTGGGACCAAAAGGAAAAAAAAACCCAAGATTTTCCACAATTAACAATAAGTATGTTTCCAGTAAACATTTACTCTCTAGAGTAATATTAAATACTACAAATAATATGTTCATTTACAACCCGAAAGCAATTAAGTTCATAAGCCCTATAATAGCTTGGTTAAAGCCTCAATTGACTAGGTTAATTTATTCATAACTAAACTATTCTGATTGCCACAGAAAAACATATCTACCACATTACAAGGTCCTGGATTCAACTCCCAGCACTTGCTGTTTTTTTTTAATATTTATTTATTTATTTATTTATTTATTTATTTATTTATTTATTATGTATATAACGTTCTCCTGGATTCAACTCCCAGCACTTGCTGTTTTTATTTATTTATTTATTTATTTATTTATTTATTTATTTATTTATTAATTATGTATATAAATGTTCTCCCTGAATGTATCCCTGCAGGTCAGAAGAGGGCACTGGAGCTCATTACAGATGGTTGTGAGCCACCATGTGGTTGCTGAGAATTGAACTCAGGACCTCTGGAAGAACAGCCAGTGCTCTTAACCTGTGAGCCATCTCTCCAGCCTGCACTTGCTGTTCTTACAGAGAACCCAGCCTCAGTTCTCAGCACCCACATGGCAGCCTACAACCACCTCTAACTCCAGTGCCAGGGAACCCAACATCCTTTTCTAACTTCCTTCAGTGCCAGGCACAATGTGGTACACAGACATACATGCAGGTAAACACTCATACACATAAAATAAAAATAAAATAGAGGGTATTCATGAATCTTAGGAAAGATAGTATTTTAGCCTACATGGAAAGCTTAAAATCTCAAAACTGGAAATACTTCAAAAGTCTTGATTTAACTTTTATAAACACACATGGCTTATTCTACTAGGCAGCCTGAGACCATGCTTGCTGCCTTAAAAACTGGTAAACTCCTAAATTAATGAAACTCTGATTCAGTCAGTCTTGATCATATAGACACTTAAAATAATCTACTTTTACCCAGGCCTGATATTGTGAGGTCATCTCTCTCTTTGTTCAAATGGTCACAATAAATCCCTGTTAAACAGTACATATTTCCAAAGAAAACTACGCTTATACGTGGGATGCATTTGAAACAGTCAAGTTTTAACTAGCATTAAACACGCTGCATCTGGCAGAAGTGCCAGCATCACTGCTGTCAGTTACAAGCTAAGCAACTATTGGCACAAATATGTATTATAAAGTATTATCAAATCACAAAGACACAGTAAAAGTCCCTTTTACTTCCTGTTCAATGGTGACTCCAAGTCAGTCTGGAGCCAAGTTGCCCAGGGTGAAAAACAACAATTCCACACGTTCTCCTACCCTGGATTCCTAGTAAGCAGAGCAAGAATCAAAGAAGCACCTAAGCTGGAGCTTGTGAGGATGATACAGCAGCCTGGAGGTAAGTACACTCTCAAAAAGCATTAGCTCTAGTGACTGGTATTCATTCCTATAGCACTCATGCCAAACTGTCCAACCAGCAAGACAACTGTGAAAATCAATATTTGCATTTGACACATTTTCTATATTCAAGCACTGTACAAATTCAATACAGATCATCACATCAACCTTCCAGCCATAAATTTTCCTTTAAATAAATCAGACACATAGATGCCCTAAAATTTTTTTAAAGTTTATTTATTTTTATGTGTATGAGTGTTTTCTCTGGAACGTATGTGTATGTATATGCATGTGTGTGCCTGGTGCCTATAGAAGTCAGAAGAGGGTTTCAGATCCCCTGCAAGTGGAGTCACAGATGGTTCTGGGATGCAGGGAACTGAACCTGAGTCCTCTGAAATAGCAATCAGTGCTCTTAACAGCTGAGCCAGCCCTCCAGCGCCCTCATAAATTCCAAAGCACTGAAGATATGCCCTGGTTCCTGCCCCCAAGGCAACCATGCTGTAAAGATATTCTTCCAGATAGACCTCTTCAAGAATATACCACATAGGAGTAAGCCAACTTTGAACTCCCCCTCTACATCAACACTTGTCAGCACCAACTGATAAGTGAACAGCAGCACAGCACAATCACAACCAACTGCACTAAGTGTTATGCTAAAGCTGTGTCCAGGATACTGGGTACAGCAAAGTGGTAGGACCAATAGGATATATAAAGGCAGCCATGCTAAAGTGTACAGGCCCAAATTACTCAGGGTCAGAGAGTCTGAGCATGCTTTACCCAGCTGGGCTGCATAAGGGAATGATTTGACCATGGGCATGGTTAACAGGTGTTTGGAAGGGTCTACACTTGGCTGTATCTAGCCAGGGGGAGGTCTTTTGCCTTGCCTCTTGACATTGTTTTAAAAAAGCCCTTTTGAATAGTTCTGGGCCATTGGGTATTCACTCAGGTCCTCCTGAAGCTATCCTGTGTTTCTGTCTTTCTTCTCATCAACTAGGTCTCTCATTCTACCTGATATTTTCTTATCCTTCTATCCTCAAGAGTACCCTGGGAAAAGTGGGAAGGTTCCCCACACTAAAGAAAGAGGGTTGCCCCAAAAAGCTACAAGGAATTTTTTAGTTTGGTCTATTCATTTGCTAAAACATCGGCCTCTATGAGACTAAAACAAGAGGTGAAAAAGGACTCAATGCCACTGAAGGAACAAAGACTTTATGCTCCACGCAGAGCCACAGCTAAAGCAGTGCTCTGAAGAAAAACACAAAAGCACAACCCCAACCCAGGAGCCAGAATCCTCAATGGCAGAGGGGCTTCTGGGTACCAGAAGAGGTGGGGACTCCTGTGGGGTGCTCTGTAGCTGCACTAATGATAGTACAAAGTTTCCCAAAGCTCTTCTTAACCATGCTCTCTATGCCTTTCCTTCTGTTCTTTGTGCTTCATCAATCGCTACCCGGACTCTAGATCACCACTGGCACGTCTCTCCATTCAGAGACCATGAGAAGGAATGAGCTCATCACGTCTCCTGTGTACTCCACGGAGGAGTGAAAGCAGAATTCTAGACAGAGTCAGTCACGGGATGCTTCTGAGCAGCAGTACAGCATGTCAGGCAAGAGGAATTCGGAAGGCCCGAATTCTATACAGCATTAATATCAGAGAACACCATGAATGACATAAGGAGGGTATTACAATGCAGGTGCTCTTCATTGTCCATAAATGCCACCTGAGATCAAGCTTATAAAAACACACCCTAATATGATGCTGGCCCACACTAACATGGGGCCACTCAAACTTCCTGCTCTCATCCAAACAAAGTACCATCAAATTAAGTCCTTATTTTAATAAACATACATGAAACAAGTTGACATGTTAAAGCTTAAAAAAATCTTTGTAGGGACAAGCATGGCTGCACACACCTGTAATTCCATCCATCACTGAGAAGACTAAGGGGGAAGGATCGCAAGCCTGAGGCCACCCTGGGCTACATAATCGACCATGTCTCAAACAAGCAAGTAAGTACAAATACTTAACCATGGACATTTATACAAATAGATGCATTTTTAACTAAGAAATAAATTTCTCCTACCTTAATTTTTACCTGATATGAATCACTAATAAAATGTTGAATAAGGACGAAAGCAGGGGCTAGGAAGATGGCTCAGTTGGTAAAACACCGTGTGCAAACTTGAAGACCTGAGTTCAAATCTCTAACAACCAAATAAACGCCTGGGTGTGGCCACTTGGATGCCTGTAACAGCAGCACAATGAGAAGGAGAAACAGGATCCCTGGGGCTTGGCCCTTGGTGCCTGTAAGACCATCTCAGTGAGAAGTAGAGACAGGATCCCTGGGGCTTGCTGCAGGCCTAATTGTAAGTTCAGTGAGAAACCTTATCTCAAGGGAGTTAAGTTAGAGAATATAGAGCGAGACAACAGATGCCCTCCTCTGACCTCCACAGGGACATGTACATGCACACACATGTTAAAAAAAAAAAAAAAAAGAAGAGGCCTGTGATACTTCAGCAAAATGATAATTACAACATCAATAAAATTCAATCAGCCCATTGAACAACATATGGCAACAAGAAAGAAAAACCATTCTAACTTAGCTATTGAGAGTGTTTTTAAAATACTTACTTTTTCTTTAGAGTCATATTCTATAGAACTGAGACTTCGGAACTCCACTAGGGACTTCTGTGAATAGACTGGAACATGCTATTAAAAAATAGAAAAAAAGTGAAAGCAATTAAATTCTTGCGGGTTTTACCTTTATTCAGAGTACTTCTTCCAGTTTGCTTCAACCTAAGATTTTCAGTCTATATATGCAGTGCTAAGAATATTACTTAGTTACCAAAGGGAAACCAGAAATGTAGACATGTGAGAGGAACCAAAGGTATGAGAAGGAAACATCAGAGGCAGCCTCTGGATTAAAGGCATGCGCCACCACCACCCGGCAAGATTTTTTAAAGACATTCAGCTGTACGTAATATTGTTCACCTTTAATTCTAGTACTCAGGAGGTAGAGGCAGGCTGATCTCTGAGAGTTTGAGGCCAACCTGGTCTACGTATTGAGTTCCAGGCCAGCCAGGGCTGCACAGTAAGCCTCTGACTCAATAAAAAAACCAAAACCCAAACCCAAACCAATAATAAAGACATCCAGTCAGAGGTATAGTCAGACCCCATACCATGTGTGTTACAATTTTTATTACTCATTTTCTTAATGTCTTAAGGCATTAAGTTATACTTTCTCCAGAAATAGTTACAATACATTAGAAGTGAACTTGATTATTTTTGGATTTTTATCCATCAAATCCCTCTGTGCCAGAAAAAAGTCATGACTCATCAAATAAAACAGATACACTTTTTTAGTTACTAGTCATTGTTAGAATTGAGAAATGGAAGTGTCTTAAAGCCACAATACCCAGGGCCTTGAGAATGTTAAATGGATGCTCTATCTCCAAAATGCACACCTAGTACTTGCTTGAAATTCTGTAAAGTTCTCTGTAGTTGTCGATTTCCTTGGCCCATTACTGTTACTGCTTTTTCTGTTTGTTTTTCAAGACAGGGGTTTTTCTATGTAGCCCTGGCTATCCTGGAACTCACTCTGTAGAACATGCTAGCTTCAAACTCAGAGATCCCACTGCCTCTGCCTCCCAAGTGCTGGGATTAATGGATGCACCACCAGGCTCAAATTGGATTTTCATTCATTATTGTGTTATAAGGGTTCTCAACATATTCTAGACTCATCCCTTCATTAGGTATATGACCACAATTATTTTATCTTATTCTATGTTTGCTTTTCACTTTTGACATGTGTTTTGAAGCTTAAAAAAGTTACTTATGATTTTGTCTAACTCCTTGTTTGCTATTTGTGTCTTTTTATGTCACAGCTAACAAACTGTATAAATCAGAAAGTCAAAAAAAGAAAAGTTGTATAACCAAGTTTTAAGAAAATGATTTATTGGGACAGTAAGATAGCTTTGCAGGATAAAAAAGTGATTGCTGTGCAATTCTGAGGACCTGAGTTAAATTCCTGGGACCCGTGACAGAAGGAAAGGAGTGACTCCTGCGCGCGCGCGCGCGCGCGCGCGCGCGCACACACACACACACACACACACACACACACAGAAAACAAACTTAAAAAGAAAACTGCTCATCTAGTAGTTACTGGTAAAACTAGGTGCAAATGGAAGGAGGGTCATAAAGAGCAAAAGGTGTTAGTACTTTCTCCTAGAATAGTCTAAAAAGATGCTCACACAAGAAACAGAAATGTTTCACAGAAATGTTTTAAAATGAAGTTAAACACACCAACTTTTTTAAAACCTAAAGTCTCAAACTGCAAAATGTAATCTCTACATGAAGTAAAAGTAGGAGACATGAAAGAGGCACCTTATTAATTAAAGCCTTTACACTACCAAGAAAAGAGTGAAATGCAAATGGGGATGAAATTAACTGTAGTATGTCCATATTACAGACCAAGACCACATTTCAGTTTCCTTCTTTATAACCCCAAATCCTATACACCAGAAAGTTGAATCCTACCAGTTTCTAATTTTTCAAAGGTCAGGGGAGGGGGTCTAGAAAACTTAACTTTTAATTTAAAGATAAAAACAATGGCATCTTCCATACTGAAGTTAGTTCCATCCCCTCCATGTTCAGGTAAAAATTCAGCCATCTAAACTTTCAAGGATCTAATAAGTTTTTAATGGAAAATAAGTTTTCAAAGAGCTAAAAAGTTCAATCTTCTACTGCCCTCGGTTAACAGCTACGTAACATTGTTAAATGTCACAGCAAACTTAGTAACAAAGACAATACACTCCTTGCTCAGAAGAAAACTGCTAGAACCTCAGCCAGCTCTCAAAACCTTAAGTACAAAAGCCAGCTGGACATTTCTCCCATCTCTCTGGGTCACATACACAGTAAGCTCCACAGCAGCCCCTACAACTTCATCCACGGAACACAAGAGCTGGCATTCTGACCAGCAATTCCTAATACTGTAGCCACACAATGGTCTACTGCAGCAGTGTGCAAACATACTCTTTTAAAAAAAAATAATGATATTTTAGCCAGGCATGGTGGTACAGGCCTTTAATTCTTTAAGCACTCAGGAGGCAGAGGCAGGTGGATCTCTGAGTTACAAAGCCACTCTGTTCTACAAGTGAATTCCAGGACAGCCAGGACTACACAGAGCAACCCTGGGGGGGGGGGGCGGTATTTTGTTAATTTTTTGAAATTTCATACACTTTATCTTGATTACACTCTCCCTGCAGCTCCTCCCAAATCCACATCTCCTTTCCAACTTTGTGCTCTCTATTTCACAGCAGATGCCCCTCTCTTCTGTCTCTCATCTCCCTGCCCCCTCTTCCTGGGTGTTCCCTAAACCTTAAGTGTAGGGGTTGTGTTGTAAATGTCTTCATTGAGGGCAGATACCCAAGGAGCAGTTGATCTCCACAGTCTGACCAGCTGTGGCTTTCTGTAATGGTCCTCATGTGCCACTAAGAGAAGCCTCTTTGACACGTGTGAGAACTGCCTTCCCTATGGGTATAAGGATAAGATCTAGAACACAGTTAGGAATTTTACTGGTTTAGGAAAGGGGCAGTAGTAGGTTCTCCCCTAAGACCCATGACCTCACTAGCTACAAGAAATTAGCTAAGTTCACAGTGGCAGGCATCACTTCTCTCCTACTGAGTGGGCCTTAAGCCCAGTTAGGTGGCTGTTGGTTACTCCAGGACACAAGTGCTATTATTTCACCTTCTGAAATATCTTTTCACATGATATTTTTAGCCACTAACAAATCAAGCATATTGGGGTTATGGATGTAGCTCTAAGGCTACCTAGCATCCATAAGTGCTTACCTAGCATTCATGAGGGCCACGGGTCAATCCAAAGCACACAAAATAATATATTAATTGGTACACCTCATTTCTAATGAGAGAAATCAAATGAGACTTTTTAAGAGAGTCACAAACATTCTCAGGATCACAGTTCACTTAAAAGAATGGGAATAAATGATGATACTTTCTTATCAATTCCAAATGTCTTTGCAAAAAGCAAAGCTTTGACAAGAATTTCCTAAGAGAATGGTTTTTAAGACCTTACAGTAGGAAAGAACTTCTATATTCCAGAATATTTTGTTGTTGTTTGTTTTTTACTTTTTTTTGGGGGGGGGGCGCCACCCAGCTAGCTCCCAAATAAATCACACACGGAGGCTTATTCTTAATTATAAATGCTCAGCCTTAGCTTGTTTTGTTTCTTGCCAGCTTTCCTTAACTTATCCCATCTACCTTTTGCCTCTGGGCTTTTCCCATTCTCTTACCTCTATAAATCTTACTCTTACTCTGGCTTGCTGTATAACTGGGTGGCTGGCCCCTGAAATCCTCCTCCTTCTCTCGAGCCTAGATTTCTCCTTCTATTTATCCTCTCTGCCTGCCAGCCCCTCCTATTCCTCTCCCCTGCCTCACTATTGGCCATTCAACTCTTTATTAGACCATCAGGTGTTTTAGACAGGCAAAGGAACACAGCTTCACAGAGTTAAACAAATGCAATATAAACAAAAATAACACACCTTAAAATAATATTCTACAACAATACTTTGTTACCACTCTTGAGTATTTTATATTTATACCCAAGAACCTGACACACTTACATGGGGAATGATACATACATCTGTCCAGTGCAGCATGCATTGTGGTAGGGGGAAAAAAAAAAAAAAAAAAAAAAGAATAGCCGGGCGATGGTGGCTCACGCCTTTAATCCCAGCACTCGGGAGGCAGAGCCAGGCGGATCGCTGTGAGTTCGAGGCCAGCCTGGGCTACCAAGTGAGCTCCAGGAAAGGCGCAAAGCTACACAGAGAAACCCTGTCTCGAAAAACCAAAAAAAAAAAAAAAAAAAAAAAAAAAAAAAAAAAAAGAATAGACAAAAAGGTTTGCTGCTGATGAAGTAGATAAGTAAAACATAATACAGTCATACTCTTGGATATTCTCTAGCAGCTAAGTACAACAGACTAAATCTATGTATTAACAGCAAAAGAAGAAAGTTATCATGGAAAAAAGTTGAAGTAATGAACATATTATAATGATTCCTGTATGAATTTGAATAAAACCAGCTTATCAACCTAGGTACTAAGTAAGCACTGGTCACGGGAAAACACTTTTCTCTAAACCCTGAAGCATTAATTTTGGGGACATGGATCAGTTCCCAGAAGTGGTTATTGCTATGACAGTAAGAAGGGAGCTCTACAAAAAGCAAATGTGGCCAAGCAGAGTAATTAAATGACACAATCTAATATCCATTTTTCATTAAAACAAAAGCTCCCTGGGGGGCGGGGAACAACAGCAATGACAAAATGAGTTCCCCACATGCAGCTTACCACACAGAAGAGAAATGAAGGCACCTGAGGACCAGCCCAAGCTCAACCACACAGTGTTTTTTAAACTCAAGCCACCCAGTTAAACACTTCTGCTCTCAGCTAGAAAACAAGAGCTCAGCTGACTTTCCCCCCAAGGTTCTTCACTAACCAGAACTGCTATTATTCAAAATAAGAACTCAGTCCATGTACCCAAGAGCCACCAGGAGTGACAGGAAGCATGCAGTTTATTCTGACTGAACACAACAGCCAAAATGGCGAAGGTGACGTCACTGCAGAGCAGAAAATGCAAACAAGCTTACATGATTTTGAAAATATGAACATGCATTGTTCTAGGTAACCCTCAAAA